CAACGGAGCAACTTTAATGTCGTTTATATACAGGCTAAGATTTTTAAGTTGTATTTGTGCTCTGCTTTTCAGCCCTACCAAAGTTCCACACCCACCCAGTGTCAATGTCCGTGGATGAGGGAGGCGTTGCCCGTTTCCAGTGTCAGATTAACGGAATACCCGAGGCCAATATTACCTGGGAGAGAGACAGGAGACTCCTTAACACCACCGACATCAGGTTACTGCAGAAACACAACGTTTGTTATTGTTTAGGTGTCAGGTGATCAGATGAGTGGCCCTCAGTCCACGTGTCTTCTTCAGGGATGTATTGCACTTGAGTTTTCACCCCGTGACCGTCCTTGTCTTTTCAGGTACACACTGCTCCCCATGGGCGTCCTTCAGGTGACGGGCGTGAAGCAGTCAGACGCCGGTATTTTCAGATGTGTAGCCTCCAACATAGCCAACGTCCGCTACAGTCACGACGCTGTTCTCAACGTCACCGGTAGGTTGAGATCTCACGTAGTTTCTCCCTGCGTTCTTCATTATTCCTGTCACAGCGTATTGCTTCTATATATATAGTCACTATTTCAAAATAAAAGTTCCTCTGTTATCAAAATGTTTTGCAGGTGGAGCTCCAAGAACCTACAAAGAGCCCGTCATTCTGTCAGGACCCCAGAATCTTACTATTACTGTCCATGAGACGGCCATCTTGGAATGCATTGCTACAGGAAACCCCAGGCCTATTGTTTCCTGGAGCAGGCTAGGTACACTGGGAATTGTCGTTCAATATCTGTGGACTTGCCTAAGAAAAAAACACATAAAATCAAATACCCATAATTCCATCTGTATAACTACACATCACATAGATGTTTTGCTACATGAACCATATCTGACTGTTGGTGTGTCTCTATTTTATCTGTCTATCAGATGGGCGTTCCATCGGAGTAGAGGGAATCCAGGTTTTAGGAACAGGAAACCTGATGATCTCAGATGTGACCCTGCAGCACTCTGGTGTGTACGTGTGTGCTGCGAACAGGCCTGGCACCAGAATGAGGCGCACAGCACTCGGACGACTTGTAGTACAAGGTGAGGAACAGAGCAGAAGGACTGTGGTCAAACTGTATCGCAGTGTTTCCAGGTTTTTTGTGTGATGACACATTCATTAAAAAATTTAACGTCACGCTACTAAGTACGTAAGAGGTCACAAAAATACATAATTAAATCTAAGGAACTCCTACTAAACTCACAATTGACTTATTCAGGGTGAAAAATTGGTCTGTTTATTTGAACACAATTTTGATTTAATGGCAGGAATTGAAGAAAGAAAGGACAAAGATCTTCTTCAACAGCAATTTTTACAACCATCTCCTGCCACCTGGTGGAAAATTATAAAATAGTACTCCTCTATGTAACCAGTTATATTTGGTTGCTTTGAGTTATTGCTAACCAATGCTGGCCATGTGATGCCGACAAATGTACACACCAATAACACCCTAGCTAAATTTCACAGCTACTTGAGGATAAACCTCTTAGCTTTAGCATTAATTATAGAACCCCTTTGCCCAGTAGTAAATATTTTATAGTTTTTTTTTTTTATTAATGACATAGACTAAAACCTCATTTGGTAATGTTTGGAGAGCCTTATTACTATTGCCAAAATGGCAGTTTGGGACGTTTCAGGGCAGGAATTGTGACTTTAAAAATCAATGAGTTGATTGGGTGACATTTGGTTTCAGTCGATATCGGGAATTAATATTGAAAAATAATTCAAGAATTGCATTAAGTAGACGGCCATATTACACAATGCACTGTGTCTACCTTTTGTGTTCTTGTGTGCGTACACTTGACCATATTAACCGGTGGCGTTGGAAGGAGAAGAAGGACAGGGTCAATACCACAGCTCCGCCCTCTCTTCTCACCTTTGGCCCCAGGCTGTTCAGATATGGGGGTGGGAGAGGTTAGGAGCCTGGGACTGTGTTTGGACAGTGACAATGACAGTGATGGTGTGAAACCACCCTTTCTCCACGTCCCCCCACCCCCCCATATGCACAGCCTTTCCAATTCTGTTGCAAATTAGCACAGAGCCCAGTCCAGTTGCGTGTATGCGTGTGCGTAGAAGGTGTCGGCTTTCCATGACACGGGCTCATCCATCACAGGCGTGATAGCCCACTTATATTTCTCACCGTCATTAGCTATGATTTTTAATTGGCTGTCTGGAGGCGACCTCCATTAGATGCTCGCCTTCCTGGGTGTCATAGGAGAGCTGCGGTGACACGGAGGATTCACCGTGAGACTCCAGTCCCTCTGTGGATGATGTATGTTCTTTAAAGTCAAAGGAGAGCCAAACTAGATTTGCACGAAGGGTTCCACGCTATAAAACGATCAATAAATCCTCGGGTCCTCAGATGCAACCTCAGGATTATTTCATTCAAAAAAAAAAAAATAGAACACATAAAGTGATGAGGGAACCACGGTTGACCTTGTGTGTGACATGGTTTCCTGTTTCACAGGTAAAACAGGAAGTAGGGATCTTGTCATATTACAGCTTCCCTTCAACGACACTTTATTCATACAACTCTGCGAGTGTCCATGTTGTGACCAGAAGGATCAATAATACTTCATGCTGTCACCCCCTTTAGAGTGATTGGCAGCGCCTCAGCTGCAGGGGAGGATGAGGAGCGGTGATCTTTAATATATTCATTAATTTATTGATCACTTTAAGCTCGGGAGAGAACAAAAGCCTTTATGATGCGGTCACATGGGAACACGACCACCCCAAAATGTGGGTGAAAGCCAACGTTATCACGTCGCGGTGCTAAGTCGGCTTGTGTTAGCGAGAGTTTAAAGAGCATTTGTTTTATGTCTTCGCAAACTCTGCTCTTGTCGCGTCCAAAATAAAAGCAGGTTTACAGTAAATTCTCAAAATCTGTATTTTTGCATACTTTGTAGTGTATTGCTAATATTGATTTCAGGAGGTAAAAAAAGTAAAAATGTACATAGGTATTATAAGTCAATTTCTTAAAAAAAAAAATCTCAAATCTCAAAATCATTTCCCCTACAAATCCAACTTAAACATCAAAACAAAGAAGGGGAGGGAATGAGTACTTTCTGTAACTACCATTGAAACCTCCCATACCCATTACATAATGGATTTTGAATACAGTTTGCGCCACTTTTTGTAAACTCACACTGTTTAAGAATAATCAGAGCTTCACTGAAGGCTATAGATTTAACTGTAGATCGAACCCTAGTGCACATAGAACATCACTTATACTTTATTAATCAAGATGGAGACAGGACCATGGATTTGAACCCATTGACATTCTAGTCTATTCTATTCAAGTTGAAAAGAGCAGGAGTGCAGTTTCTGACAAACACGACCACGTTTTACAGTCAAAAGTAAACGCAGACGCTTTTGAAATGTAGTGAAAGGGGAAACTTTTTTTTTTTTTTTATTATATTAGAGTCAAGTTCAGTGTTGACTGGCTGCGGTCTGAAGGTTAGCGCTCCCTTTGTCCTTTTGTTGTGTGGTCAGACCCGCACACACACACACACACACACACACATGCAAAACAGCTAGACAGTCAATTCAGGGTGCAAGGTGCAGCCAGTGCTGCGAAGGAGAAGGGGATGAGGAATGACCTACAACCCCTAACCCATAACCTTGACAGGGAGGGGGTTAGAGCTGTGGAAACAGTTGGAATGAGGGAGGATGTGGTGCGTTGGGAGGGGAGGGGAGGTGAGGACGGAGCCATAGGGAGGTGAAAAGGGAAAGGAGGTGTGGTCCCCGGGTTAATTAAGGACGGCTGGAAGATGGATAGCATCTCAGCAGATGGGCGAGTGCAGCCGGGGTGTCAACACATTGACATAAAATCATACTGCCACACAAAGGCTGCTCGGCCGTTTTGGGGGGAAACAGTGCATTTAATCCCTCCCTTCTTCCCTCCCTTCCTCCTTCCAACTCTTTTATGGCCACCGTTTTTCCCCAGATAAATTCAGCAGCAGATTGTTAAACCGTATTGATGCGTTCACTATGTATTGCACAAACATTAGCGCTAGCGCACGCTAGTCCTTGCTTGCACGCGGAGTGGAGTGCTCTCAAGGATCAAACTCATCAGAATTTTAAGGTGGTGCTGAACAGGAGAAAAATGTAATCACATTTTGACATTTGTGTCACTGCTGTATATCACCATTAGTAGGAGATTGGTTGTGTTCATTTATTATTCGACAATAGTGTAAAAACAGCATTGGGAAAACAAACGTTTTGTGACAAAGAATTGCAGAAAAAAAAAAAGTGATTTTCGAAACAATGCTAAATTAATACTTTTTTTACTTTTTAATTTTTTTTCTATTTTTAATTTTTATTGCTTAGAATGTTAAGTTTTAGCATAGTGACCTTGGTTCTATCCAATACAGAGTAATGCATTCTTCTGGTTATTGATTGGTCATATATATGGGTATTAACAGGTAAATGGAAAAAGTATAAAAGCCCTTTGACTTATGATGAAATACAGCCTGTTATTTAATGGCCAGCAGTAAAATACAGGGCAATATGCCATAAAGTAATTATCCAGTAATGCCACTCTGTCTTGGGTTTCAACAGACAAGTATTACTCTGTATTTCTGTAGGTTGTACTGTGCAGAATATCCATGTTATGTCGTCAATCTTATAAATGGATTCATCTTCTTTAGTATGTATTTGGAGGCCTCCGCAGAGTACATATATCTGGAGGTAGAGGTATCTTCTTTGTCAGGGTAATACCTGATGGGCAGACGATGTGATTTTTCTTGTTCACACGCTGAGCCCCCTTGCTCTGTCTTGCTCTGTCTCCTCTTCAGCTCCCCCAGAGTTCCTGCAGTGGCCGCAGTCTGTGTCCAAAACAGCAGGGGGCAGTGCTGTGTTCAGCTGTGTGGCCCAGGGCGTCCCCGAACCTCACCTTATCTGGCTGAAGAACGGCAAAATCCTGACACCCGGACACAACGTCAAACTGACCAACAACAACAGGTAGAAAACATGATTTAGTTTAAAAAAAAAAAAGGGGGTTTAGGTTGTCATACGTAATGCCTGGTTTGAATAATTCTAAGACTAATAAGTATACAGTACTCGGACATAACGAAAACGTAACCGTCCGACTGATTTCCATAATGATTTCCATGATATCAACAGCAGCTGTAGTGTTTCTAAATACAGATTTGCATGAGGTTAAATGAAACATTTTTCCATGTTGACCACAAGATGGCAGCAATGCACATAAAGCTTCTGGTCTTGGCATGTTGCTGCTCATGAGACATTCCGTGACTAGACATAATCGAATGTTTTTTATCTGAGTATATGTTAGAAAATGTTTTTCACTAGGCTATAAACAGGTTTTATTTAAAAAAAAATAAGAATAAATATCATAAAAAAAGTACAAAAAGAAAAAGTTGCATGGACAAAGCTATAAATTCAGTGGTTAGTAATAAATGAGGAGACTTATTAGGATTGGGCAGTGACAGTTACAAGAGTTCAGTTCAGTGATATTAGGTGGGAAAAAGGCTTTTTCTTTAAGCTGCAGGTGCAGGTTTTACCAATAGCTCTGTGACACCTCCTAATTGGCTTCGGGGAGACACCACAGGACTGTGTTGTCGTCAATCCTGACTCTCCAATGGCAACCTGTTTTAAAGATAACCTCCGGTGTTGGCTGCCCGAGTCTGATATATTCACGGGCTATTATAATTACTCTGTGGGGATTTTTACATTTGCTTTAGTGCAATTTGAAAAAAAAAAAAAATACTTGATGTGCTTTTAGAGATAGACTCACTAACTGTTCATCATCCCCGCAGCACTCTCGCTCTGACCCGCATCAGTTCAGACGACGAGGCCATCTATCAGTGCATCGCTGAGAACAGCGCCGGGACCAACCAGGCCAGCGCCCGCTTGGCTGTGGTCCAGAGCAAAGACCTCCCCGCCGCCCCCGAAGGCTTCAGAGCCCGCGCGTTGTCCGCCATCTCGCTCCAGATCACATGGAATCAGCCGCCGCCCGACGTCACCGAAGGCATCATCGGTTATGTCCTGCACATCCGCAAGACAGGAGGCGAGTGGCCCCAAAGATAGTCATCATACCTGTTATTGTTTTATTAAAAATGATAAAATTAATTATCTATGTGTAAATATTGTTATTTATTTAATTATGCAAAGTTTAGATTTCTTATCCATTTAATTTAGTGTCCATTTAGCATTAATGTGTATACATATACAGTATATATATATATATATATATATATGTATATATATATGTATATGTATATA